CTTTTACATACCTACTTTTACATACCTACTTACTTACTTACTTACTTACTTACTTACTTACTTACTTACTTACTTACTTACTTACTTACTTACTTACTTACTTTTACTTACTTTTACTTACTTTTACTTACTTACTTACTTACCTGTACATACACTATGAGTGCTCACACACAGACATGTGGTTTTAATTGTTTGATCATCTTTGTCTGCCTGCAGACACGCTCGGGTCAGGAGAGGACGTTGTTGGAGTTTGACGCTCCGGTGTCCAACACACTCCCTATTGTTGATGTAGCTGTGTCCGATTTTGGGAAAGGGAACCAGAAATTTGGTTTTCAAGTTGGCCCAGTTTGCTACAATGGTTAGCAAACTGATGACGGATATAATTTAAAAGCAAAGAGCCATGGACACGTTTTACATGCAGGGTTGAACATTACATTCAAGACCACATATTTATGAGTTGATGTATGTTTGTGCACCAACGTGTCTTCATCCAAACTATCAGTCTAAGATGCACACATTGATGTTGTCCATCAGTGAGTTCAGATTCACGAAAGGAGACTCCGATGAACTGGATATGTTGTGTTATCCAGAGAAACATCGACTGTTGATCCATCCTGAGAGGCACATTTTTTGTCTTCTTTTCCGTTTTGAAGGACCAAGTTGTGCTCTTAGCCTCACTGTTCAGTTACTGATTCAGTAAAACTCACAGAAACATTTAGATCAATAAATTGTGTTCAACAAACACAAAAACCTTACTTTTCAGCTGAAACGTCTCAAAAACAAGGGTGCTCAACTCAAAGTCTTTAAAYCTTGATGGGTGCTGACCATCCAGTATGGTGATAACAAACTCTCAGCTCTTGCATGTGAAGTTGCTCATCAACAAGAGCATCATCAGATGTATTTGCATGTGTTGAAAGTTTCTGTTATTACCTTCTTATTGTCAAACCTCAATTTTTTTGTGTTGTTTTTGTATGTTGTTATAATTTTGTGATTGTAATTATATTTTATTTGATGTGCACCGATGAGCCACAACATTAAAACCAATAACAGGCTGACTGAAATGCATTGGTCGTTCAGCAATCGTTTGTTGGGAAAACCCAAAGTCCCCCCAAAACCATATCACATTAAAGATGCATGAAAATAACTCTGTTATCCAACCTTTGGAAAGCTCTGATCTGATGGTTCTGAATTAGGAAAATTCCAAATTTCTCTTAATGTCAATAACAAATGCATATCATTTTTTTACATTTCTCCTCTGTTCTTAATGTTTACAGTCAAAATTATGAAAACATTCTCTCTGTCACTGCAAAGCTGCAAGGTTTTTGTTCATTTGTACAATTTTAATGTTGTTGCATTTATMCATTGAGATTAACTGACTAAATTAGACATATTCGGAGCAGATGCAATGTCCGATTTTGTGTGTTTATCATAGTAGCGTTTAGTTAGTATTTGTAAAAATACACTTTTTATATTCAGTTTCCTCTTGTGAACCCTCTCATTGTGTTTTTAAACAGTTCACAATGAAAACAAAAGGTGCAGCAATGTACCTTTAACAATGCATTGACTTATTGCTTCAGGTGTATCTTMAAGGGTCTGGGCATGGTACCTTGACTAGTGGTACATATTGTACCTTTTGTTTGTACCTTTAAAGGTACACTTTTTGCACCCCATGCCCGTAAACTTCAAAGCACAGCTGGAGCAAAAAAAAAAGTACATTTTTAAAATATATCTTGATTTATTTATTTATATTTTTTACTGTGCACAGACAGTTCACTGTTCCACACCAGAACATTCTGTTGCTAGCTATAGTGTGTTCACTGACTGGGGMAAAATGGATTTATCAGTGTCAGATGGGCCAATTCCTTTCATTAGCTGATTGTATACTTTTAGTCACAGTGCATCCTGCCACATGTCAAATGCAGCTCAAGAATACATCTAAAACTGCTACATACGCTGCAAGAACCAAGAAAATTATTTTCTTTCACAGCTGCAAAAAATAATGATGTGTTTTTTTTTTTACTTGCAAGGCTGGTTTTGAATTTATTGCAGCTTTTTTGACTCAGCATCTATGCCAGAACTTTTTTCTTGTGTGATTTTCAACAACTAATGTGTGATTGGTCAAAAAGTTTGAAGTGGACATGGCAAATGTGGAAAGGCAGAAACAYTGATATTCCTGCATTTTTGCTGTAGCACAGACGTTCAGAGAATTTCTGCACTTGAGTTTCTTCTTATACTTGCCACCTTGAGTAAATGAACAATTTTCTCAGTTCTTGTGGCGAATGCAACACGCTCCAGGAGCACAACAAGGAGGTCAAGTTTCTGAAAAACCCTCCAAACTAAACAGATCACAATTTGATGGAGCRTCTGACATGCTCTAAAATAGGCCACATCTTGCAGGTCCCAGAAAGTGAAGGAATAGCTGCCAGCTTTCTTCCCACCAGACAGAGGTCCTACATTCATCCCACCAGGTTGGGACCGTTTTCAGGACAGTCTGCAAAAATATTAGGCTGGTGGTTTTATTGTTGTGGCTGATTGATGTACTGAGGAGTGTAATTCATCGTGGTGCTATTATGTAAGTCCTTGAGGAGTACAGTTTTTGTGTCAAAGGGATTTGGGGCAGAACATTTTTTTTAATATATTGTGAAACAATGTTTTGTATGTTGTCATTATAACAAACCAAGCTCTGATTCATGATTGCCTCAACATCTTTCTTTGCATTATGTTTGGGGGAATTGATTAACATATTTTAATAAAAAGTACACAATGTACACTTGAGTTTTTATGGCTTTTTAATGCAATGACTTTGCCAARCTGGAGTTGGACATTTTCTCTGTTTTCTAAAGATGATCAAATTAACCATAAATGGACACATTAAACTTTAGTCGTATGACACRTTTGAAATATGAACATGCTTGTATGCCTCTGTGAAAAACTCCTCAATGTCTGAATATTAACATTTTTTTATTTGAATGCTCTGATATATCTAAGTACCACAAAGCATTGTWCAGTGGGTTGAAAAATTGTATTGATCTTTACTTCTCTGGTCTGTCTGGAGAGTCCCTTGGTCTTCATGATGACTCTTGCTTGGTGGAAGCTCTTAGGTCTGGGTGTTAAAACAGTAAGAGTATTTATTGTGACAGTCATGTGATCAATATTAATAGAAAATACGTCTGACAGAATGTTGATAATTTCACTCAACTTTGAGTTAGACCCACATGGCATTCTGGGGAACATAGGCAAAATAAAGGGCAGGCCCAGCTAAGCAAGGTTGGCAAGCTAGCAACAACCTGCTGATAACAGTAACAGTAGAGGTTTTGTTTCACCACTGTGCCCCATAAAAGTTTGCTTTACAAACAAATCTGTTTCATCAAATGTATTTTGTTAATTATTCTTCGTAGAGAAGTAACATTTTTTAGGTTGCTTGTGTTATAATTTGGTACTCAGTGTGTAGATCGATGTTACACCTACATTTATTTTTGTCACATTAAAMCCACACTCATCCCTCTCAGATCTCCTCTGCCTGCTCGTGTGTTTAACCTGACCTGCTGGAGGAACGTTTTCAGCGGCGTTGAAACTTTAATGAGGGAAAGAACATTGAACTCATTCAAGAGTGTTTAGCTGCCAATTCTCAGCYATGAAATATGGATGGTGTGGCGTGAAGGTTAGTCACATTGTGTTTAACTGCAGTCGGGGGGGAAGTGTTCATCTGTTCTTCCTCGCAGCCCGGTGAGGATCAGGACAAGCACAGTTTAATATTTCATCCTCCGTCAGTTTGCCAGCTGCTGACACTCTTCACCAATTACAACAAGCAAAGGTTGTATCCTGCTGTTGATTTTAAGCCACTTGACAATGGTGGGCCAAAAGTTGGTCAAATAAATACTAAAATTTTTATGCTTATGATCTTAACAGTGAAAAGATTATGATGATATCAACAAGCACAACCAAACAGATGTTGAAGTTTGGTGCATATATAATGTCTTATACTTGTCGTGGAATTTCAGAAATACATCAGATGTTCATGAATTTAAGTGATTTTATTTTATCGCAGTCAGTTCACACTTCTCACATGTTGTCACATCCTATTTTTATTTTAATTTTTTTTATGCAATGGATGGAAAGATTCCCCACCGATGACACAGCAGTGTAAGAATATGAGCATCGGCATGTCTCACAGCTCTGATTTTTTTCCCCATCAGAAAGTAAAGGAGACCTGTCCACTTTAAAATAAAATAAGTAAAATCATTTTTAATTTATTTATTGTGTGTTTCTGTCACATGATGCATCTCTCTTTTCTCTTTCTCTAACTCTGAATCTGTTTAAAGTTTCTTAATGTAACTTATCTACCATCCCATGCAAGCTCAGGATGGGGACTGAATCAAAATCATGGGTGAGTTTGTTTCCACAGTTACACTATTTTATGTGACTTGGCATTCAAAAGATGAAGTTGCATTGTAATTAAATTAGACRAAATCAATATGATTTGGTTACTAATTAACTCATTGTATTTATTTCTGCCAGAATAGTTGTAAAATGCAAAACTGCAGGTGATGTGAAAATATGCAAAGTTGTGTTTTTTATGAWCTGCAAAAACAATTTTGAGACTGGAGTTGTTTTAAGACAGCTTTGGTCTCACTCAGACTCTGTTAGCTCATCGATCTCTCAAACGTTTTTTTTCTGCAGATTGTGGTCATTCAAAGAGCGGTCCACCTTTCCACAGAACCCCACTTCAAATGATCTGAAYTACCCTTTTCATGGCTCCTGTTRTTGCTCCTCACGAAGGAAACAAAGTATAGATCTTTGAGCTCAGCTGTGTCCTCAGATGAAATCTGTTTCTTGCTACTTTAAAACCCATTTATCTCATTTATCTTTAATTTGAGATGTTATACCTAAAACCTAAGCTGATTTCTAGCTCACAGCCATTAGCTACGCCTACGTCTTCAGCCGGGGCTCGAGCGCCAAAGAACTTTCTCGTATCAATAAAACTGTTTAAATGCTGTATTTCTGTGTGTGAGCCTTTCCAGGTTGAAATGGACACATGCTGAAGAGGTGGGTGTTATCCACACAGAACTAAATTGATCTTTGTTTTCAATGACATTAAATAGTTGTTTTGCATTATACAGTACTGTATATGCAAGCATTATACAATATATCAAACTGTTAAAACGTCAGACAWTGTAAACATTTCACAACTTTGAGAATCATTCATTAAATAAGTGTGACCTTAAATATTAGCTGCCCAGTCAGAAGTATAAAACCGGCATGTTTAAAGGTTAGAGTCAGAAAAAATATGTATGTTACTCTGGCCTTTTTTGGACTATTTTGAGGATAGACAGACCTGAGGGAGAGACCAGGACAGTGATGGGTCCACCTGAAGCCTTCTGGGTCCTGCAGCTGCTCCTCACTGTCAGCTCATGTGAAGTACCGGTAAGTCCAATTAGGTGGAGTCCATTTTGTTCAGGGGCACATTTAAAAATGAATAAAGTTTCACTAAAAGGCAGCAAACTAAAAATATAGAAAATATGTTTTCACAGTTCAATTTCTTTGTTGAAGCAAAGTCAGTCTGAGGAACTATTATTTTTTTTATTTTACATCACATAATTAGCTTTTTAATTAACTTCTATTTGTACTAATTATGCTAGCAGCTGGCTTTTATACCAGCTGTTAAGTCATGAATGTATTTGCATTTCGTTTGGACCAAGAACTCCACTTGTTGGAAT